TGCCCAGTCCTAATTGCCTCCCTAGTTTAGGGTTAGATTTAGGAATTCTGGCAATGCAACCCACAGTAATTTAAGAGGTAACTCTAAAGGCTGGTATGTTCCCTGCCTCTGTACCTGAACTTATCATCCTGGAAGGCAGGGGTGGGGGAACAGCCACTTCTCAACTGCTGCACTCCTCAGTCTTGTGTCCTTGCTTGTGTTAATACACCGGGCTCCGAGAAGCAGCAGCTGAGTACCTGTGGTTTGCTACCCCTGCTTTGTAAATAGTTCATTTTAGCAGAGGGTTAGTGAAGTTGCCTCAAGTCCCCGATGACCAGCGATCACCAGGAGCCCTATGTACCACAGAACAAAGCACTGCCTTTTAGCAGCCTAACTGGGTTGTTTTAGGGTTTTTTTCAATAAAGATGACATCAGTAAAACAAAAGTTGGTGTCCAGCAGATAAGTGGGTGTTTAGCAGAAAATTTTGAAGAAGGTGGGCAAGATGACAGAAAATGGTGTGATTAAATGAGTTCATCATTTGTACATGTAAGTGTGGGATGGATTGTGGGGGAAAAGAAGGGGGTGGAACTGTAACAGGGAACCTGCCAAGTAGCTGTCAAGTTTTGAGAGTTTTTGGTGTCCTGAGTAAAAGCTCTAGAGCATGGTTCAAAGACAGTACCAGGAGCATTGTTAGTGCAGTAGGAGAGATGCCCCTTCTGAGGTTACACTTGGCCTGTGAATAATGGTCTTCACTCTTGCTCCTCCTGCACCATTGGCATGCGGGAGAAATCACTCCACCTCTGCACTTTGATCTCCCCACTGAGAAGAGAAGGTTGATGATAATAGCCTTTTAAAACATGAAGACTGGGAGGATTCTGGAAAATGTGGCTATGAACAAGTCTTGGTTAGAGACTTGTATGTTTGACATATAAGAGATGCTCCAGACTTCACTCAGTGGACTGGGAGCCAGTAACTCATGAAAATTAAGAGCCTACCTTTTCTCATTTCATAGGCACATTAAGAGAAGCACTGCTGTCCTCCCAGTTCTTTGCAATCATGACTAGGTGAGAAAGCCATGCACTTGCAGATAGGTAGGACATTCCTTTTCTTAGGCAAGTTTACCCTGACTGCTTTGGTCCTTAAAATTTCTGGAATTTCTAAATCTCAAAATTTTATAAAGCCCCAAATCAAAACTCAGGATTTACTTTTGGTGAAGTGTCCTCAAGGTCAGGAGATCTTTCACACAGAAATTCAAGCAGACAATACAGACAATACAATTTACATAAACTTGGAAAATCCAAGACAAATTCTGTAGGAATTTTGTTCTAAGAATTCTTTCTCACTTCTAGGTTTGAAAAATAGAATCTAACATTTTTGGGTTTTTAACCCATGAAGCAGAGACCACCGTTACACTCACAGAGTGTGAAAGGTAGCTATAAATGTCATCATGAACCCAGCAACACTCACTTTAAAACACTACCACTACCGAGGACAATCACTATAAAGCCTGTACTTACTCACTGGCTTCATTAGCCAGTGGGTTCAAATCAAGAACACCAGAGCAAAGAAATTTTTAACTTCTGGCTCCAAGTACTTAATCATTTCACATTGTCCCTTTAGATTTAATGAGTCATCCTGCTAGCTATTTAGATGCACAATCACCCACGACCCATTAGCAAACACCTTCAAGAGGCAAAAGGAGGGACAAGTCTAAACAGAGTTGGGAAAGCATTTGCCCACACAGTCTTACCTCATCTGCTAATGGCTCTTACAGAAATTACAGCAGACAGGAGTTAGAGAATATTCTAAGTTGGGAGGGACTCTTCTTTCTCCTCCCTCTGTTTTCACAGAGAGCATTAGATGAGGACTGCCAGGGAAGGGATTAGCCATCGCTTCATCTCCAGTGAGGCCAGGGCCCCTTCCAGGACAGCATGTCTCCTGCACAGACACACACAACACGCACACTTGGGGTCTTAGACCCTACAGTCTCTCTGCCACCTGGCTGTGACTCCTCTATCCCTCCCTTTATTCCTCTGTTTTCTTATGCACCTTACTTTGCAAATCACCCTGAACCCTCCCTTTAGTTCCTCCTCTAAACACCCCATGTTAAATCCTGTGCAAATCCCAAGTGCGCTCCCTTCACATACATTGTATCAATGTCACATGTAATTCTCCCTCCACTCCAATCAGCTCCCATTCATTGGTTGGGTGGATATCACCTTAGGCTCACCGGGATGATCTCCCTTATGGAACAGCCCTGGGGGGAGCTGGGGCAGGGCTGCTGGCTGCAATTGTGCTGCTGTGCTCCCTCATGTGGTGATGAGCTTTCACCATGCAAGCCACTGCTGGCAGTGGTGGTACCTCAGGACAAGAGTCAGGCCTTCGCCCTCCACCCACACCAGGTGTCCATGTGTTGTTGGGAGCTCCAGGTGTGCCACCATAGCCTGTGTAGTAGGGAAATGACTGTGGATTTACAAACCCTTCTTGGTACTGTGTATATTGGTCAATAGCACTGCGTGAGTGTATAGGCTATACTAGGCTCGTTCAGCTTCTTCAGGGTATAATCGTGTTGAACTTCACTCCTTCTCTCTTTCCCACTTCCACCCTCAGGAACATGCTGCCAAAAGAGATTCTATGAATTCCAGTGAACTGTGGTACTCGACTCTCAGCCACAATGTAAAACATGAAGCCTCCGAGATTGATGGCAATAATCAGACAGAATACGCACTTGTCAAAGTGCCCAAGGCGAAGAAAACTATCACCAGCCCTGAAGAATATAGTGAATATGATGATGTCCTGGTAACTTAGAAGGCACTCTTTTACTTCAGTGTATGCAGCCGTGATAACCATCTTACCTCTGCTGTCAGGTCTTCAAACAAACAACTCTCTCTCTCTCTCTCTCTCTCTCTCCCAAGCTTACATATTAGGATACATCTACCAGTCATTTCCTGTGAGACAAACCTGTCCATGAAAAGGTGATCAGAGAAAGAAACATGGACAGGGTACAGGACTTGACAACTAAACCAGGAGGAATCAGTAGCAACTGCTATCATAAAGACAACGTTCCTCTATAGAAAATGAGGAGCTTCAATGTTAGAAGCAACTGAGGCTGCACATTTTTCTGGACTTTTATAATACTTTTTAAGGGTGTGTTAAAGAGCTACTGATACAAATCTCAAAAATGCAATAATAACAGGGTTATTTTGTTTGTTTGGGGCATCTTTTATGTTTTAAATGAGAGCATAAACCTTGTATTAGATGCACTTACACTTTTCCAAAGTTTTTCTGTCCTGCTTGATTAATACTATTATACAATGCACAACTTTTATAAATAACTCATTTCTCAAATTCCCCCCTTCCCCTTTTAATGTACTACTCGTCTAAGAGTCAAGTCTTAATGAAGTTGGAATTAAATAAAAAAACCCAATAAACTGCATGCAAAACAACTATTACACCCACTCAGAAGAGTGTGAGTACTGATGCTGCCCAGGTGACAACTACATCTCAGTAGTAGAAGCCCAGGTGTTGTTTCCATGACACAACTCTTGCAGCTCACTCCTGCTGGAGTCTCAGGTTTGGCTTTCTGCAGTGCTGGAATATAACCTCCTCAGAGCCCATCACCCCTCTGCAAGCAGTATTTCTGGACATGCGCAAAGGACTGAAACTGGTTATTCAACTGTTTACCAGAGCTCACAAAGTGATTATGTGCCTGTTTTCTTGCTTGAGCATGTTTTTTTTGCTCCCTCCATTTTTGTGACAATGCAATTTGGAAGAAAATCTTGCACGGTTTTCCCGAATTTAAGTCTTCCTTTGTCTGTGATGGCTGGTTGCAGCCCTGGCTTTGTGGTGTGGTGCCTTTGCCACTCCCACCTGCCATTTCGGTGCCGGAGGCAGTCCCACGGGTCAATGGTTGCACGTAGCATGGAAGGACACAGACTGCCTGCAGGTACCACTGCTGTGACAGGCAGCTGAACCCGCCCAAAACTGGTACTGGCTGCTGTGGCTGCACAGATGACTACCTGCTATGGGGTTTTAAAGGGCTGGTTGCACACTCCATAAGATGCTTTTTCACAGTGTCTCAGTTGTCTCAGTCATTAAAGTGTTACCCACATCCCTTCTATTAAAATTCACATTAAACATCCGCACAAAATATCTAACTTGATGAAATAATGTGTTTTCATACTGCTGTGTTCCTAATGAACTGAATCATAATTAATACAATCTGACTGGATGTGAACTGTAAAGTTGGATATTTTCTGTTTAATATCACGTCTTACGACAACTCCACCTCCTTCTTTCCTTGGGGTTAAGGTACTGGGGCAGAGGAGGATGGCTGGCTAAAAAATGAATGCTTATCTCCTTTTTTTCCTCTCAACTCTTAATGTTCATAGGGGTATCACCATAAAGAAGTCTAATCATTACATTATTTTTCAGTTCTTAGAATTGAGATGAAGTGTTCAAGGATATGTTCAGGCGTCTTAGTAAGAGCAGTAAGTTTGAGCAGCATCTCAACAGTAACTTATTTCTTTGCTGCTGGTACTTTCATAGCCTGCTGCTTTTGGGACAAACCATGCAGGCCATGAAGTTTATCCTTCCCCAGTATAAGAATCAAGAGGAATACCTCTTCTAGCTCTATGCTGCATAGAAAATTACAGCAAGAGAAATTATGGTTCTTACAGCCAATGCTACATTTTACAACTCAAGATGGGATCAGAATTACCCACAAATAGGAGAGTTATGTGAACTACTAATTTGGTCCAGAATGTTTGCCAAGTTCAGATAAAACTAATGTAAGAACAACTGTGGGTGTGAGTGTACAGCTCTGTCAGACAGAACCTTCGTACAGCTCTCAGCATTTAGAATTCCAGAGGTTATTTTCCAGTTCAAACACCTGAAAGAATGGAGCTTGAAAACAATCACTTTAGGACTAAAAATAATTTAATGCACAATAACATTGACAGATTACTCCTTAAATAAACTAGTAATATTAGAAAACACAATTTACCATAAGGTATTTCTTAAAATACAAAATGTGTCTGTCTATCCAACAGGCTATAAATAAATGACAAGAAGGTATACTTCACTAACATGGTAGTGAATACATTCCACTCTGCATAAGGTTAATGCTTCATTTTCAGGTCATAGTCAGGTACTGTTTATAACTCTCATGCCATGCTGATCTACATGGTCTGCTTCAGCATCTTCCTCTTGGCTTTGATCCATCTCATCTGATCTTTCATCAACAAGAACAACTATTTGCTGCCTTATTAAGGCAAATATCTTGCATCTGTTCATTTTTATCCCCAGTGCAGGGACAGGGACTATAGCTAAGGGAGTGGACTAGTTTGTCTTCAGATTTACAAATGTAGGTGAAATATCTGTCTACTCACTAATAGCAGTAGTTAATTATTAAAGCACACGGCTAATTTGACCTTTGATAGATTCCTGTGACATTCAGATGTGTTAGTGAACAAGACATGTTTCTTCACGATGTTTCTTCCTTCTTTTCTATTTCACACAGAAGAAGAGAAAAATAGAGCAGATATCACCTTATCCAGGAAGACTCTAGGATGAATAAGGAGAGTTAAAGCTTTCTTGAGAATCTAGTGCAAAGGTCTTTGATGTAATTAGAGAATACATATACATATATATATATATATATATATATGTTTTCAGGCTGTTTTACAAGAAAGGAGCAGTGGGAAAACATGGCATATGAAGCTAGGAGAGAAAAAAGTAACAGTATGGGTGAAAGTGAGCATTAAGGGTGAAGCCATGCAGATAATTTTGGATAAACCAAGAGAAGAAGAAAGCCATGTGCAAGACCACTTTTAAAGCTTGCACAGAACATTCAGATTTAAACAAAAGGCAAGACAAAGCAGAGCTTTCAAAGTCAACAGAACATGCATCAGAGAAGATATATGATTTTCACAAGAGCAAAATGGATTATTGAGGTATCAGGACAATTAAGAAGGAGGTAGTGGTGGTGTAGGAGTGCAACACTGTTATAAATATGCCACATGTTCCATTTACAATATTGCATCACAGGCAGTATTTAGAAGTGTTTCTACCTAATGAATAGCTCCCTGCCCTGGGATTACTAACAGATAGGAGATCTCATCTCTTCTAGGTGGTGATGAAGACGAGGAACTTTTCCATCATTTCTCTGAAAGTTAAAACAGTACAATATTAAAATGAAACTTTAATATGAGTTAATCACAATATACACTGCATGCTGAAGTTTTGGCCTAGGATTATTCTGAAAGCACATAAGTTTGGCTTAGCAAACTGGGGGTGCGGGAAGAAGCTCCGTGCATTGTTTTCATTATAACTGCAAAGCTCATGGGACTTTTATACTGGCATTTCTATCAAGACAAATATAAATTTGTTGGAATCGCTGGCTAGTCACTGGTAGTCATCGGAATCACTGCTTAGAAAACCTAGGAGAATGAATATTTGGTGATTTTAAAAGGTATTTCTGTGCATAATAAATTTTCAAAAAAACCCAAACTTCCAAAGAGACAAAAATCAGGAGTCTTTTTCACCCTTGATTGAGAAAAAGAAAATCGAGAAATTGAATCTCAAATTACCTATCCTGTTTTACTTGGATTAAAATTTAGTTTGTAAACATTCAGAAATCAATATACAATAAGGATAAATATTTTTCATTTTTTGTCTCCCTGTTATGGTACACACACATATGAGGAGAATTTCTTTGTATAGAAAAAATGTAAGAATAGATTTAAGGAGTTTGGTTGGAGTCCATAGCTGACCAGTCTCATCACTATTCCCTTTCTCATCAGAGCACCTGACATTGAATCCGCGGTAATAAGTTATGCATAGCAGGACTTTCTCAAAACTATTTTACGGTGTTCTTAATGTTGTTGTGCAAAATATATTTCCTAACACATATCAACACTTTTTTAGAATTATTTCCCTTCTTTACCATAAAATGCTTCTGCTCTTTGTAAAGAAACAGTTTCTATAATGTACAGCACTTACATGTGAGAGAAGTTCGGTCAAGCTTTAACTTGTCACATTCAGATGTTTCAGGATTAAAAGTGTCATCTTCATCATAAATATTTTGACGTAAAATGTTCCTTATAAAATCTGGGTTCATAATGTTTTCCATAAATCCTTCTGTTGTTGGTGGTACAGAAAACACTAGCTGATAAATTACAGTGGAGCTTTCATTACTGAAAAACAAAGTCAGGTATGAATGCCTTCAAGCTCCCCCTGGATGTTTTATTTCTTTGAGAAGACTGTCTTTACATATCAATGTTGACATGGATTTTTTTTTTTTAGAATGTTTTCTAAAGAAAAGCATTATAAAAGAAAACTGTCATCAAAGCTTCCAGTTTCCTCCTCCGACCTCCTCCCTTCTCAGAACAGCTCTTGAAACTGGGTATGTACTTGAAGCCAACCAGGGACATGTTTTCAAATGCACAAAGGGCAGTTGGACACGTGTCCTAATGGGGTGTGGTTTTCAGCACCCCTGCTTCACAAGTACACACTGATAAGAGATGTTGCAATAGCATGTACATAGCTTAGCTAGGAACCTGCAGAAAGGTCTGCTCTCCTGCCGGCAGTACCTGGGACCACCCAGCTGTGCTCCTAACTCAGCTCTGGAGTGGATTACACAAACCAGTGAACGGGAGACCACCTCTGGAGATTTCATTCTACATCCACTGTCTACAATTCAACAGCTACATTTTGTGCTCACAGAACTTAAACATTACAAAAAGTAGTTGAATGTGAGAAAATAAAAGAAAACAGAGGCAGCAAGAGAGACACACAAAGAGGCAGAGAGGGAGAGATCAGCTGATCAATATATATGCAGAACTAGACCTTTGTACTTGATGGTCTAAATCATAATTTTTAGGCACAGAGGAAATAAGGCTTAGAAGCTACAGTTCACCATGGAACAGAGCTGGCACGCCCAAGGCTGGCAGTGCAAGGGAGCATATTCCCTCAAGTGAGCAAAGTGACCACAGGACTGCCCCTTGCCACATCCCAGGGTAGCTCTTTCTCTGTCCTTGCCCTCGCAAGGGTTGGGACTTTGTGAATCTACTTTCCTTGATTTTCTCCCATCTTTCTAATTTCTTTTGTAATTGAGCTTTTCAGAACTCCTCGGGGAAGCTCTCTGACTGTCTTCCCTTGCCTCTATGCTATTTCTTCATGACAGAAGGCATGTATCTTCCTGTTGCCTTTACCTCTTTTGGAAACAAAACAGTTCTCTCCTCCCCATGAACCCTGTTTTATTTATTTAAGACTATTTAAGCCACTTCAATTTTAAGCGTCTCCATCAATTAATTTTCCCTTTAATGAATATCCTTGAATATGTTTATTAAGGGCTGCAATTAGAACCAAAAATAACAGAGATGAATACTTTACAGCAACAAAATGCTACTGTCATATACTATTAGCAGCATTTTCTGTTTACACCAGAGAATCCTTTGACCAGTTTTGCCTACCTATAAACCTAACTTTCCCCTAAACAACCTATATATACACATGCTTATGTGTTTATTTCATCAAAAGCCTATAATTTTCAGATAATTTTGGTGACAAATTGCTTACCTGAAAGAAATCACTTGAGCTGACCTAAAGTAACGTCCTAAAGCTGGAGATGAACTGTAGACCTCTGTTAGCTGGGATAGAAAAAAAAAAAGAAAAAAAGTAAAACATATTTCTTCTATTCAATCTCTCTTTTCTGCACAAAAGAAAGCACAGCAATTCATTCCTAGAAGGTATCTCATGGGCATAAACACAGCTACTGAAGGTCAAATTTCAGCAAATATCTGCCCTGGAAGAGGTACACGGTCCTTTTAAATTTGACAGAAAAGTTAATTGCACATTTGAGTGATTGCTATATAACCTTAACACAATAGAGGCATTCAGGGTGATGTAAAAGTGTATGCTCATGTTGCCATGTACAATTCACATCGCTAGGTTTGTGATTTAATTAGTGCCCAAAAGCTCTTCTAACTTTTAAATGGTAGAGGGAAGGGTTTCTCTACTGATACTCCCTTTCCACAATGTCTAAATGAGCACTGTCATGCCTGCTGAGCTTATTTCAGCTGTAACTCAGAGCCATGATGGCTTGATGGAAATTGCAGCTATAAACTCAGGCTGTCATTGTGTACTCATGAAAGCAGACAACACTTTTTTTCTAGATCAGGACTTTAAGAAGTACAACTCAATTTTTTTGTGGACTTGCTACACAGAGAAACAGAAACTTCTTGAAAGGAAAAACACTGAAACTATGTTGTAAGCAGAATCAACTTTGCCAAGAACCTCATCAAGACATACCCTCTTAGTAATGTCCTCAGAGAAAAAGTGTGGGAGACCACACATTAACTCCAATGTTCCCGAAAAATTGTGAAAATTTCCACTGTTTAGTAGTGCATCAGGATCCCAATAGTCATCCTCATCTGTGTAAACATCTAATAATAAAAGGAGATAGAAAGAAAAGGAAAAAGTTCCAGTTAGCTGAAGTATTGAAAAAAACCTTCTTGGCTTGCTCCATGGTGAAATTTCCTAGGTAAGGACTGGCTGGGAGTGACAGAAAGAAAGTGCAAGTGTTAGACACCAGGTCAGTTATTATTGGGTCAGAACCACCTTGTGGGAGTGAGTGTGTGTGTGTGTGTGTGTGTGTGGAGGGGGAAGGGATGGCTCGAACCTCATGGAGTTGGGGTGGTGTCGTGTCCCTCATAGCAGGCCTCTGGAGCCCACAGGGGGAAGCTCTGGAGGAACTGTCAGTCACAAACAGCCCAGGAAAACTATAACACCCCAGAGCTCCTGCAGCCCCTCACCCAACTCAGATTGGCAGGGACAGTGAGAACACTGCCCCTCACCATGATCTGGAACCCCCAGAGTGGCTGGTGGGTCAGAGACCCTGCCTAGGGGGTTGTCCATGAGGACCAGAGCAGATAAAACCAAGGGCATGTGTTTGCCTCATGTTGCAGTCCTGCCACTGGACTTGTGAGAGCTGGTCTTCTACAAGGCTGCAGTGGTAGCTATATGATCTGTCTCTCCCTCTTTCTCCTCTCTTCTTGATCCCTCTGCTTCTCTTTCTCTGCTCCTTTCTTGATGCTTAGGGTGTTTTGGAGCTGGAGTGATTGTATTTTGATTTAAGTGTTGTTGGTTTACTGGATTTTTACTTAAGTGTTGTGGATTAATAATATATGCTGAGTCAGTATTGTGGTGAAACATTTTTGTTTAGCTTGTGTGGTGTCCTTTTGAACTTTGGCCAAGTTCCCTTATTTGCTCCCCTAAATAAATAAAGAAATTCCTTGGGAACAAGCCCGTGGCTTATTCTCTTGACGCCATCTTGAGATATTAATGAACCCCTACATCTATATATTAAAGCAAAATTCCTAGCCAAATCTGTGAGCCAGCAGTTCCCTGGGCTTGGAGTCTTACAGCAAGTCACCCGAAGAGAAGTGACAGCACGTGGAGGTCAAACACCCACCCCCATTAGGAAAAGTCAGCTGCTCTGGGAGCCTGAGTGACAATGACACCACTTGAGGGGATCTGAGTGATCCATGACGCTTGTTGCAACATGACAAACATAATTTCCATCCTCATCCCTGTATCTCTTATAACTTTTTCTCACTTAGCTACCTACAAACTGGAATTGCCACCTGATCAGGATACACGTTGCTTGCTGCATGCTAAGACAAAACCACTCACATCCACTACTCAACATACCAGCCTCTGCACTCAGTGTCCCAGTCCCTTCAGCAGTTTAATGAAGGAGTTTAAAGGATGCTACTCTTGCATTTGTGTTATATTAGACTGTACATATTGTACATTTGTATTACTCTAACCAAGAGTGAGATACTTACTAGAATAAAGAATTAGGCTGATGAGAATGACGAGGAAGATTACTAGAAATATTGCAGTTATAACCATCCATAGTTTACACTTCCAGAAAACTACACTCCTGCAGGACTTCCAATGATCTCTCTCCTAGGTATAAAAGGGAAGGACATATTGATTAATGAAATAAGGCAAGAAAAAAAATATTGAAGTGAGTCTCTACTGTCACATTTAGAAACAAAAACCCCGCATAGATGAGAAAGCCACATTGGTAAGCAAATGCCCTACACCAGGGGTTCCCACCCTTGACTGCTGCTGCAGGTGGGAATGTGGACCTGCAGAAGGCAAAGAACTTTCACAGTCAGGTGATTACTTGAAATAAAAACGTTTAATTCCCATTTGTGCAGAATTTCCAACTGAGTTGCCCTTAAAGTCAAAGTACTACAAAGGTGCATTCTTGGCTCCCTCTTTATTTTTAACTACAGGAATTTGAGTTGCACGTTCCACAAGCTGTCCTTTTAATGTTTGTCATCCCTCCCAACCAAAAGGGTGTTTATAGAGATATTTCCAAAATCATTCACCTTTGCAATGTTGATGATGTCAATCTGCATAGCTACTGGGTGCCAGCATCAAAGCAAAGGGGCTGCTATTCAATAGATGCTATTGCATTAAATCCACAATAAAATAACTGAGACCTTTATAGCTGACTGCCTTTTTCTGAAGAAGATGGGAAACTTGAAGGTTATTGAATATATTTAACAGAGTTTAATGGGAACCTCACCTATTCTAGGAGAGCACAAGAAAACTGTCTCCAAAGCGATTGTACACATATACGTTCATATGGGAGAGAAAGGACAGTACTTGCCTGATGTTTAATTTTTAATACTATTTAAGACCATAGAAAAAATTAATCTTTTAATTCGTTAACTTAGTGGTATGAATATTATAAAACAAACAAACAAACAAAACCCCCAAACCAACCAAACAATTAAAACCTCACTTAGGTGACACAGCAAAACAGAAAACTTCAACTGCTTTGTTCCACAGACAGAAGACTGAAGGAAGGGCTTGAATTCATAAGTAGACCATGCTGCCTTTTTATTCCTTCTCCTTCCCCCTCTCCATCCATCATAAACCCAGTAGTAAACTCCACATCCTTTTTGACATTAGTATAAGTAAAGAAAAGGTTGTCTGGGACACATGTGCAGATTGGTGGGAGACACTAATCCAGGCTACTGTCCTTTACTTTTTTAACTTTCTAAGAATCCAGCATAACAGAAAGGTTTTCACTGAATTTTACTGAATCCACCAGCTGGCTAAAAGTTTTTGTGAGGGTGCCAAGGGGACAGGGAGAGAAAACAAACACTTACAGAAAGATCTTACAAGAGTCATTTCTCCAGGAGCAGGGGCAGAAAAAGGGAAACACTCTCTGCAGACATCTCTGCACACAGAACTTTGCTTTGGTGGAGAACAAAGAGCAGAAACTGAATATGGTTTGACTTACAGCATACTTTCAGGTGTTATTATGTTTACCTATAAATTTTTTAATTTAATTTTTAAATGTGTTAGAAGACTGAAGCTTCAATTTAATACTTAACACTAGCATATCATTTTGTATTTAAAAAATTTTTAAAAGTCAGTAACTACTACCTAGAGTGCAACTTTGAAATCAGACATAGTAATATTGGTTGAGACAGACAGCTGTCAAGTCCAGGTTTCTATTGAGCCACCACATATTTAGATTACCACAAAATGTAATTCTTAATCACACATAGCATACTGCCTTGATCTCAAGAAACCCTTCAGCTCCACAACTAGTCCAAGAGCCTCTGGACATTGCCCATAGGCATCACAAGACTGCTGAGGGGAAGCAACAGCAGCAGAGAAAAATATCTCCCTGATGGGCAGGGCAGCTCTGATTAACCTGCCACCTAAGCAGAAAGCAGAGCATGATAATTTTCCAGCAGTCGCTATAGGAAAGGAAGCCAATTGCCAGAATCAGCAGAAACAGAGCTTGAATGAAAACTCAGTTCTGAGAAGGGGAAGGATAAACTTAAGGGTAAAGTTTTGCAATATAGCCAAGCAGATCTAGCTCACCCCTGCCTCTCTTCCACCCTCTCCCGTTCCTCTTTGCACCTCCCTCAAATTTGTCTCACCCTGCAGCAAGCTGATTCAGCTTACCAGACCAGAGGAGAAGTAGCTGACCCCTGATATAGTAGAATAAATGGGGGTTTTGCCCAGCCAGTGGAATGGAACAGCACACAGAGATGATCAGTGGGGCTTGCACAAGGAAGCAGTTGCAGTTACTCCACTAGGAGCAGGAAGGGAGGGGTGGTGTGACTAATACAGACAGCTCTCGGGGGGCTCAGCCATGCCTAGAGAAAAGTGGGAAACATCTTTGCTCTGTCACAAATATTCCTTGAGTGAGTAATGTAAATAATTGTACAACAGTCACCCGTGAACATATATTATACCTCTGCCAGCATTAGTCTGCTCCATAGCTTTAAGCTAAGTACTGGAAGCTACCTTCCTCAGGACTCATAGTTGGTCTGGACTGAGGCTTTGGAGCATTCTATTAATACAAATTCATAATGGTTAGTAACTCTGAATTACTCAAAGATAAAAAGAAAGAGTCCTGCATGCTCTGTTGGAGGACATTCTTGTTTTGGCAGCACTGTTTTCTGGTTAATTTGTGCTGAAGGGAAGCCTGTGTTTAAAACCGATTTCAACTTTTCTCCTTTCTGATTTTGAGCCCAATCCCACTGATGGCACATGAAAATAGAAAGCAAAACTCAGAGTATCAATTGCAACTTTAGTTCCCAAGTTAAAACTTAAAATACCACTCCAATATCAGAACATCTCACGGATAAGAAGAAAAAAAGTACGTTTTCAGTTCCTTTCCCTCTCCCTTGAACAATCAATTGAACCACCCCAGCAAGATGTTTCTGCAAAGTGTCATTTCTCTTGCTATGTAGTGTTTTTCCCAACAGCAAAGATCTAATGAGCAAGTAAAATTCTTACCTTTCTCGTTGGAGCATTTAGAGGCTTGTCATGATCAGCCTCGCTTTCCTCCACGTTTTCTTTTAATTCAATAATCTCATGCTCCTGAGCAGAGTTTTGCCTTTTTATTTCTTCTGTCTCTGTGCGAGGACCTCTGACTCTAAAGCAAGCACAGAGGCAACTCATTTCCTTCTGGTTTCAGGTCAGTAATAGCTCTGATATGAGGCTGGAGACACTAACAGGGAGAGTTGGGATAGTTTTCACAGAAGTGATCTCAAAACACTGATTAATAAGGGGAATTCCTTGGAAGAACAAATGACATCGGCTGCACTAGCTACAGAGAAACAGGAGGTGGAGGAAGTATAATTTGCCCAGTCGTGAGAACTACAGCTCTCTGCTGTGCAATACTAGGTTTTCCAGTTTGCCTGCCTTCCTGTACCAGCCCTTGACAAGCAAGTGACTAAACCTTCAGCAACGTTATCATTCGCTGAGGCAATTTTGAAAGGAACCAGAATGCTTTCCCTGCTGCTGTCAGGCAAAGCAATAAATTACTATTAATGTTTTCCATGCAGCTAAACAGATGTGGTTCTGAGCAGCACAAACTGAGTAAAGGATCATATAGATTGTGGTCTGCTTAGGCTGTGACTCTAGCAACGCTTGTAATTTTAGTCTCCCTGTATAGACAATAAAGAAATGAATGCTACTGATCTTTGGGCTGTGAATTGTCCTTTCTCTAGCTGTTTTACTCCCTAAAATCACATCTGATGTTAAAGAACCATTTCTGTCTATTAACATACTATCCAACCTAAACCTGAGAAGCTGCTTTCAGGTAAAACAAAAAAAAATGCAAAACCACAAAGTACCAATCTGAGGAGAAGAGGAAGATGACCTTCAATTTCAACCTATGATCTACAGGGCATGTTTTTATGAAGCAGTCATGGTGATCTGGTTTGCATTAACTTCCCACGTGAACGCTCTTGTGCACTTAAAGTCACTCACCGCTGCTTTCTGCAGCCAGGGCTGATTCCTCCCCCAACCTCTCCACTATCCAGCATCCTACCTCCTCTTATTTCTCCTGTTCTGACTCCACCCTCACGTTTCTCCTTCCTCCCCACAGAGCATCTCTCTCCCCTCTGGATCTAAAGGGCTGGACAGGTAGCTGTTTACTGCATTCTTGCTTACTCTTTTGTTCCAGCACAGGGAGGATCATGCATTAAGAGCCAAACAAAGCCTCTCTCAGCAACTCCCTTCTCTGCTGCCTGGGTATCCACTCAGAGCACTGTTACTTCTTTTTCCTACCAAAAGCTTGGGACGCTGTCTCTCCCCATCCTGCCACTTTGATTTTTTTCTTTGTGCAACTCATCTGGCTACTGATGCCAGCACATGTCTTATGTTTATTAAGCAAGTAAAAAGAAATACAAATTGTATAACCCCACCTTTGGTTCTGAGAATCCTGAGGACTGAGGATGAAGCTGAGTAGTCATCAAGATTATAACGTGCCTGGATCCACAAGATTTTACCTGGGACATCTTCACTAGAAAAACCTTTATGAGCTGTTTCTCAGTACTCTGGCTGGAGACCGGCTTCATTTATTTAATTTCCAATCACAGTAAAAGACATTACCTTCCTACAGAATTGTCTGAAACCAAAAAGGTTTTTCTAAGTCAAATGAGTTAATGATTATAGATCTCACCATGCACAGGTCAAAGTCCTTATTTTCTTTATATCTGTGAAGGAGCTCCCTAAAGTCTTGAGTTTCTTTCATCTGGGGGAATCTAACTTCCACACTTGGTGCCCTTCTTGCATGTGAAGTACCAGCCCTTCTGACATGTGTTGCTGAGAAACTCTTAAATAAAATGAGAAGTCGAGAACTGACCTGAACTTTCTGGGTTAAGTTTTTATCTAAAACAGAACAGCAGGAAAACTGTTTTCTTCCCTAGCCAAGACATCTCTGGTTTCAATATAAGGAAAAGAAACTTGTGCCTTTAAATGTGCACTTTAGTAATAGGGTTATGCTAGGCTCAGCTTTACAAAAAGAGGAAACTCCAAGGTACACACATGTAGTCTGATTGCACCTGGGGATTAGGGTTTCAGAGGCACAAACAAATAAAACATATCCACTTGCAGTTTTAGCATGTGTTTATTGAAAAGGAAGATCTGAATGACTGACTAGCCATTAGAGATAGTAACCTCCTAAAATATAGGCTTTGAGTATAGCTTATGCTGTAAGTTCGGCAGAAGCCAAGGTAAGGTACCCAACACTAAAGTGAGAAAAGAAGGAAAAGCAATATCAGTGTTAGAAAGAAGTATCTCAGTGCATGCAGATTACAGTGGTAGCTCATTCCAGCATTTTCCCCACATGCTGCCAAGGTGGGTCTAAAACTAAAGATCACGTGTTTATGTGCCGCAGAGTAAGCATGCTCTGTGGACAGCAATGACAGGCATTCAAATTGTCAACTTAATTTTTTTTTTTAAATACATTAAAGGTGAAAGCTAAATGTTTTGAACATCGAGCACAATTTAAAGACCATCTGCATGGTCTTAAAGCCATCTAAATAAATCTTTTATTTAGCTAAATATCAGTATTCTTAAGTCTCATAAGCAGTTTTGGAAATCTTAAATCAGCTAGATTTGGGATGATCCGCTCATCAGGAGATTGTAATTATCAAAACTAGAGTTACTGACAGGGTGAAAGGAATGTGGTTGCCATTTCCTTTTCTACTTTGGATGCAAGGATGCATCCAATCACATAAATCTATTTTCCTTTCATGTCCCTTTCAACAAAGTGTGGCCACATGGGCACAGCTCAGAAAGATACACAAAACAAAACTCCTGAACCTGAAACTCTGCTTGCTATGGACCAAGGAAATCAGGAAAAACAGTGAACCCATGCTTAAAATTCACAATGCATGCCAGAGACAGAGCTGGGGAAATACACCTGTAACAAACTGAAAACATTAAACCCTTCAGTTATGTTGAAATTGTAAAGATAATGTAAGAAAAAGCATTAGAGTTTTTTAGTTTAATTAATTACGAGTGATTAATTCTTTCCATTTACCTAGACGTCATCCTCTTCCAGTTCTTTAAGAGAAATATCTTGCACCCTAACGTTTGTGAGCAATATATCTTATATTTTTAAGAAAACACAGTAGAGAACCTAAAAGTTACAGCCCAGAAAGTAACAGTCGGGCAGTGGGAGCATAACTAGAGGTTGAATTAATCTAAGCTTTGTACACTATACACTATTTGTATTTTTGAGAAATATGAAATAATCATTTATGTTTAGAATCCTGTAACATCACTAAGGCAATATACATGAATTGAATATATATGGAATGTGGCTATGAATATGCAGATATGTGTATGTGGAAACATTTAGATATATAGAGATAACAAGAGACATGGAAGAAGAGAAGACTTGCACAAGAGAGTTTGGGCTGGATTTTTGTTACAGGTTCTAATCCATTTTGTTTTGTTCTTAAGGCAGTGCTGTTTCTGGTAATGGGGATAAAGAAGATGAATCCATAAGGAACCTGAAGTTGCTCTGGATCTGAACAGTTATTTCTAGGTGAACCACAAATTATAGTTTCTCCATTAAGAAAGTGTATTCTTTCACAAAGAAACAGTCACTGGCATTTTCCTGTTATACCATCAGGTAGACTACAGGAGGAAGTGCCTTTCATATGGAGATGATGTGCATTTTCTCCTTGGCTGATCAGTTTGTGTTGTGATGGATCCAGTCGTAGAGTGCTGTCACCTTAGTGTACACACCAGGACGATTGCGCCGAGCACATCCTTCACCCCAGCTCACAATGCCAGCAAGGTACCATCTATTTCCCTTTCCTGTGCAGGCCAAGGGACCTCCAGAATCTCCCTAAAATGAAGGGAGTCCAGCCATTAGTATACACACACACAAAGCACTGTAACAAAAGTTAGGTTATTTAAGAACAGTAAATACCTACCTTTCTGTTTCTCAAATTAAAACTTAATACTAGAGTCTAAATTCTGGATAGAATGTACCCAGCTAGACACCAAATTTTTTCAATTATCTTAACTTGTGGAGGTAGCACATAAAGCAATATAAATCGCTGGCAAGAAGTAGTTTGTGAAAGTACCCCTTGCTAATTCCCACTACAGGATTCATAAAACAACTCAACACAGCCAAAATGGGGAGAGATGATGACAGGGACAGAAATGGGGAATTCTACTACCATTTGACCATAAATTGTTCACAGGTTGAAGGCAGAATTCTCATGGTGTGTGTTAAATAGGAACAGAAAGATACCACACACCCTCAATTAAAAAACAAACAAACAACGCCCCAAACAAACAACAACAAAACCCAACAAACTAAACCAAACCCCAAGACAAACCAGGCACAATTAAGGATTATCATTAGTTTCATAGTCAAGACTGTGTCTACATTTGTAGATGGAAAGGAAGGAATAAAGACTAAGGAACACACAAATAACCACCCAGTCCTCAAATGGAACATGCAGCTCTGCACAGCAAGGTAGGAAAATAAAAAATTCCATTTGGTTCAGTTCACAGGATCCAAATGCATTCAGGCTCATCAATGCTTTTGTGCCCTTCATTGTTTTAACCTCGTATGTCTTCCGTGAACTGGTCTGTTCACAGAACTCTGAGCAGCTACAGTGCAGTTCCTCTCTGCAGCTGTTCCTTACGCACACAAGGCAGTCAGCAGCCTCCAAAGTGACCCTGGGATTTGTTTGCTGCCCCCAGTTGGAGCTAAAACATGTAAAAGGTCAGAAGAAAGCCATGTACCAAGAAAAGAGTAATAACAGAAAAGCCTTCATCACCCAACCAAACAAAATTATCTAGAGATAAGAGAAGACGACAAAGCAGTTCTTCCACTCTCTCAGGTTGCTGTCCTATGAGCAATTTTAATGATCTAAGAGGCTGATCCCAAAGTGACTTGAGAAAGGAGGATACACAGTCCAGCTGATTACACAGCCTGTTCTGAAAGACCGAAAGGGCAGTATGATGGTGGCAGAGGAAGGATCCTACACAGATGAACTAAGACCAAAGAACATCCTGGAGTGATAAGAAAACAGTGTGGAAGAATAATTGTTTCATTTTTCACTGTAAGTATCAGATCCTCTAAAGATGAAAAGCGTTTGGAAGTTTCGCATAACTTGTGCAACACATGCACAGCTTACATGTCCAGGAAGAAATGAACAAAACAGGATGACCACAAGTCTGGAACTATAGTAAGAGGGTTTCAGGGTGCTGTGGGGGTTTCCTGAACTCCCAGTGTCATTCCTCTCTAGCACTGTACAGGAAATATACTAATGACAGAAAACAAAAAAAATAGCAAAGATGCTACCCAGACCAAGAACTTAGAGGCCCAGAGGGCCAGCATGCTAGGATTCAAACACAGCATATTATATTGGAAACTAGCCAGTATGAGATATAGCTGAATTGCTTAAAAATGTCCATCTGAAAATTCAAGGGCATTTCTTAAGCAATACATCTTTGGAGGAACATCACACTCCTAAACCGACATGTTTTAACAAAACAATTCCAAGGTCTAAGGTTATAGACAAACTGTACATAAAATTAACAAAAATAATAGTTCATTGAATTAGAACTTAAGGACTGCAAGAAAACCCTGCAAATAGTCTATTCCATATAAAGAAGTTTGACCCATTTTGAGCTACAATCTTGCAAAAATTTTGCTATTACATTAAAATAGTAGAATTTATATATTACACAAATATTATATCAAATTGCCACAGTCTAAAAATCAGTAACACATTTCTCTCCCTTTACACAGTAACTGGTATGAAAAACATGTTTGTAATTTCAAAAGTTGATATTTATCATAAGTTGAAATATTAAAAAAGTACACAACTAGTCTGATAACTGAGATGGAGGAAGAAAGCAGAGTCAGGACAATTGAAGTACATCCAAAGAGCAGTTTCTGATTGTGCGTATAAATAAGTGAGGTCATATAACTTATAATACAGTGATGTAGTCAAAAGTTGTATTAAAAGGGAACATTGCAGCTGCAGTTCCCAAACCTAGCTTAGCTTTTCTGTTTGTATTTCTTTGTAACTATAACAATACATCACTCATCATACTGTTACAGTATTTTAGCAATTACACACCCAGACACTAAAAAAGAAAAAAAGAAATTAATACAAATTAATACAGATGGACCTAACTTCATTCCTTTTATCCTTATATTTTTCTTCTACAGTTATATTTCATATAAGGGAAGATGAAAAACAATTCTTGACACATTTGGCCCTTTGTCTTTGCAAAACAACATTTCTCAAGAGTCAGAGATTATCTGTGCCAAATTTCCTTCCTTGTTTTGGAGAGCCTTTAGTTATCATTTTAAGTTAACCATACACGCACACTCAAGATATCTCTCTCTATTACTAATAAAAACAAAAAGAAAAAAAAAAGGTAAAAAGAAAAACCACACAAACAACCCACAACTCTGAACAGCTTTCTAATGAAACCAAATATTTCTCTGTAGTTCTTCTACAAGTTCCAGATTACCTGGCATGCATCAATGCCACCATTAAGATTCCCAGCACAGAGCATACGTGATGTAATAAGATCATCATACAGCTTGTTGCAAACACTTTGGTTAATTATTCTCACTCGAGCTTCTTGCAGTGTTTTGGCAAAATGACCTAGAAAAAAAATACAAATAGTATTGCAGAGGTTAAGGTGGTACAAATTTCTAATAGAGATATCACAAAAGAGAATTGCTTCAAGCTCTAAATCTATCCAGCTAATGACAGCAGAGTAATTCTGTTCCCTTCAAATGGTGCCTGCCCTCAACTTTTAAAAGTTCTTGTCCACACTACCCTCTAGACACAGAGGTCCCAATGCACCACCTTTCCATTTCCCTAGTCTTTATCCTAATGAGCCTGTTCTGCCAGAAAGTAGTAAAAGCACCATGCAAACTGTAAAATAAGATTCTACACAGAGTAACTATCTTTGAATGCCATTTCAAATTATGTCCAAAGACAATATGTTGTTATTCACATTATAGTTGTGCTCCAAAAAATGTCCAAGTCCTACAAAATGAAATTTATATGTTGTTTTCAATCCTCTCTATACTGAGGAATAAAGCTAAAGGGGGAAAACCAAATAATTAAAAAAAACCAAAACAACAAAAAAACCAACAAAAAACAGCCTGTGAGTCACACATGATGCTAAGAACTTAATTCTGTGCTATAGTATTGACATAAGTTGTCGTTGTGAACTAAAAATCCCGAGTCATGTTTTGGCCCAATAGTGTACATAACCTTTTTGATACTTGGATGATCAGAGGAAGTGCAGAATTTTGGTTTGTTTGATTAGTCAGCTTTGAGGGTGGGTTCGGAGTGAAACAGATGGAAAAATATGTTCCTTTTACATATCATTATACTGAATTTGAATGTTACCCATGTAATTTTGATAAAAAGCAAGACGTATCAAGGCATCAATTGTAAAGCCGTTTGCACTTCATTAGGTTGTTCTGTTATTAATGAGATTTAATTATTTTTTTAAGGCATATTAAGTAAGCCAGAACTACACAGCCTAGGGGCTTCTGACCAAACATGAGGAACTAGGTCTCAGCACAACTGTGGGGACCTCTGAAGTGCTGAGGGGCTGTCCAAGACCAGGTTTCAACACTGGCTCCTGTTTAATGCTGAGACAGGGCCATGATCCCATGGGCTCTCCTGCCTCCCCTCTCCAATTCAATTTGCTTTTTTTCTGCCTCCTTACTGCAGCATGCTATTTCAAGCACAGAGGCAAAACTCTTCATGGGGCCTACATTAAACTGCCTTTAGTTGAGACAGAAAAAACAAAAAATCCTCCATGATATTTTTGCAGTTACTGCTGTTCATGGCCCCCTACTGTCACAAATGTAGATATAGAGACAAATTCTTTCTCTGCAATAGCTGCAAGTCACTGTTTACTTTACATGCAAAATACCTATTCACCAGATAAAATAAGCCATGAGCACAGGCACATTTTTGCAAATCTATGGTCATTTGCTTTTCAATGATCTGTGACACCTGACTGTGCATTTTGTCACTTATCACCTGCCACCCAAGCAAACATTCAGAATTCACAGACTGTAGCTAAGGAGATTTTTTCTAGTTTTTTATAGACCCACTAAGTAAACCACAGAGTTGGGTTTTATTTTGCTTACAAGTATAAATATTTCATTGTTAGAGTTTAAAACTAAGCCAAACTTGTCAGAAGTATATCCAAGAAATGAACATACTATTTTCTTTTATGGCTCCCCAGCCAGTTACATAGCAGACAGTTCCATAAAGAAATACTCTAGAGGTGCTGGGTAAACAAATGGGCTGTACCAGCTCACTGAAGAATACAGGCATCTCCATTTCCAACAGGGCAATGTCATAATCTGAGATAGATTGGTCATACTGTGGGTGGACAATAATCCTTTTTATTGATCTCATAGCTACATGATTGCTCTTTCCATTAATAGTGTGTAAGCCCATATATGCTCTCCATCCCAAAGGAACAGAGTATCTGTAAAGAAAATGGTTTTAGAAGATCCCACTGGAAAGTAATGTAGTGTTAGTTCACTCCATTTTAACTACTTTTCAGTATTAGATGAGATTCATCAAAACCAAAGTGAATAGAGTAGAATAGTACTTCAGAAGATAGATATACTATAATCTCTGTCTCCTAAAACATTAAGTAATGTTTTTACTTGCTATTTTGAAAACAATTAATTTCCTAGAGTTCTAAGATCAATTCCATGCAATGCACCATGCTTTGGGAGTCAGAAAAGCATATTATTAAATTCTAATTCCTCCTTGTTGCATGTAGGAGGTATGTCTTTTCAATTTGCACTGCCTAAACTGAACATCAGTGAGTTTTACACTCAATAAATAGGAACTTTTCTGGAGAAAAAAGGTCACAGATTCTATTCAGAAAATCACTGCCTTAAGAAAAAAAAAAAAAAGAAAGATTAAAAAAAAAGGGTGTTTACCCTAAATCTAACAAAACAATGTTTTATCTTGCAGGATTGACTGACAATAGAAGCAAAGGAGTAACTTTGAATACTTCAGATTTTTGAAGCCAGCAGAATACAATACTGAGTGTTGATGTACTGATATGTCACAGAATTAAAACCTTAATCAATTTCTCTAGACAAGGAATAGCTACTGCAGACTTTTGAAAGCAACACTGTAAGGTTATTAAACTGTACATACTCTGAGAAAATATAATTTCTTCATACCTCACAGAATCAGAGTCCAGGAAGCAGTGGGCAGCAGATATGAGCCATCTGTTGGAAATAACAGATGCACCACATACATGACCTTGTGCTCCCATCTGTAAACTTGCTTGCCAAGGCCACTTTCCAGATCTTGCATCTTCACCTCCAACGATTCTGTTTTTCTTAATCTGGTGTCTTCCACAAGCTAATAGAAATCATTGAATACAATAGTAACAAAGCCCACAAGGTCATTTCACTTTGCCATGCTTAACACAAACTTTTATCCGCAGACCACAAAGCTGTTGGAAAAAAAAGAGTATTTTCTTATTGTGCAATTTGTAAAAATTGTAAAATCGCTCCTTCTCACTCAATGGGCAGGTGAGATATAAGCCAATCATTGCTTATCCTCCCTTGTAGCTTTCTAAAGAGGTTAAAATTTCAAAAAGACATTTAGGCACAAACCTAAGCTGGGTTGTTTCTGAAAGTTCACTTGAATACATTCTCACATTTTTCCCTCCTTCCAAACACAGCACTTAAACTGCATTTTATTCAGCTGCAACAAGCACTAAGACCTTCCAAATACTCCTGGAAGTGTTCATTGCTTGAAATAAGTCGTCACACACAGAATGGATGAGTGGATTTAAAAGAAACCATGCATAATTCAAGACGTACATTTTCATACCGATGTTGCTGGGAATTATTTTTTTTTAACTTCCATTTGATTTAATCAATTCTTTATCCAATTGTGCTTGACCGTAACACAAATTCCTGACTCAGTTTCCCTAGTCATAAACTAATTTTTACATAAATGTTACCACACCACAGTTCATTTCATCAGATCCATCTGCACAGTCTCTCTTCCCATCACACTCAGGATTTGGTTTCAGCAAGCACTTTCCATTGAGGCATTTGTATGCATAAGGGGAGCAACTTTTGTAGGCTGAAATAAGAGAGAGAAGATAGTGTCACAGGTTTGGAGTCAGGCTTTCAAATTATTAAAAAAACCCTTGCACTAGTTTTTCAAAACTACACATTCCAGTCTGCAGGAAGCCACAGCCTGTACTGGTGTAAACTGGTCCCTCTATGGAGAAGGTACAGTGGAATGTTTTACTCTGAATAACAATCACACTAATTTCAGTCTTCACTATCCATGAGGAAAAAGACATAAAAGCATCCAACTGTCTTCACCACCATTTTACTTAACTCTACACTGAATCAGCTAGGTTTGTCAGATCCGTTCTTTTACCTTCACCTAATGCACTACTGGCATTATGAATTATAAATCTTCACAGCACCTCTGCATTTTTAAGTGAAATAGAGAGAATTGTGGAAGAACTTTATACCTCTCACCAAGAAATTTTTTCTAAGGACTATCAAAGTTTACTATGTGAGAACCCTGACACATCTCAGCAATAGGTTTCCATCACTATTGTTCTTATTACCAGTTGCTTACACCTCTAAACAGTGGGAAGGAGTTTTTTTCAGCAAATGAAGACATACTCCTGGCTACCTCAAGGACCTAAGATACAAAACAAGCCAAGAATTATAATGGAAAAATGCAGCAAGTCACTAGGGAGACATTGGTAGTACTGGCAATGTCTGTAACCATTGTGGATCTACAGTAAAAAGACCATGACTGTGGCAACAGCCCCCAACCTACCATATCTCTCTCCCTTACATTATTTTGTACAGATCTGGCAGAACCTGGGGAAAAAGTGCTCTTCCAACAAGATCGCCAGCAAATGTGCTTTGTTCATCTTTCTAAAATGACTGTTATCTTGGATTTTGCTTCATTAATTGTCTAGATTCCCCCAAGAACTAGTTATACTCTGCATGTTTTATTTTCACAATTATGAAACTTTGTGCCATGAAAAAAATTTATTTAGAAATAACACATTTATCCATTAAAATAAGCATATTCCCACTTCTGCCTTCCACCATCTTTCAGAAGGGAGCTAAAAATATATACTTACAGCAGTTGTTTTCATCACTGTCCTCCCCACAGCTGTCATCTTCTTTACAAGACTTATACTGATGCTTACACCTTCTGTCACCACAGTTCAACCATTCTGGATTACAACCTGAAGAAGAAAGGTCTGTAAATGCTTTATAATTCCAATAGCAGGCTATCTGCCACAAGCTACAAACCTATCAGAGGTCACCTCGACGTTGCTGTGCTATCTCTGTCAGACATTAATCTACCCTGGTTTTGAGAGCATCCAGTGACAGAGAGACTTGTTTCATTACCTAACTTGTGCTGTGCTCTCTGACCTTGTGTTACCTTCTGGTCAGTCTTTCCGGCATCTCTTCAGTGTTCCTTATCTTCTTTGATGTGCAGTACCCAATTTGGATACAATACTCTAGCTGAGGCCTTCCCACCAGTGACTGAGAAGATATTTTCAAACTCCCGCTTTATATCCTAGTGTGATGCTTAAAAACCCCCCAAAACAAAAGAAGACAACCAAAAAACAAAACACCAAGTACACACAAAACACACAAAGAATATTTTATGACTGACTCATAAGTCATCTTTTGAGCAACTATTACCCCCCCAGCCATTTTTAGCAAAAAAGCAATGTAGGCAATCCACTTGTCTATTTGATTCCCTGTGTTCAGATCTTGTCTTTATTTTTCTACATATATGTTCTCCAACTTCTCAGGAGCATTTATAAATACATCCCTCTTTCTATTGTGTAGCACTTTCCCTATATCATAAGCATCTACTCTAGTCTATCATTTAGATCATGAACAAAAATTATGTGACATTCCATAACAGATATTGGCAGAGTGACAATGAAAACATCCTTTCACTTTGGTAATTACGCTTGGTCATTTGTTCTCTGGAAACAGTTTTCTGTATTTTTTCCTCACTATGTTTTCTTCACTTACTGACAAGCTTGTCACACAAGACAGCGTGAAAGTACAGCTTCTCCTCTATTTATCCTATCACAGCGGGGAATTAAAACAATATTTTAAAACTACATGCTGGTTTTTAATATCCTCACTGTTTACAAATAGTTTATTTGTTGTGCTATACTTTTTTTTTCCTTTGGAAGATTAACTTATAAAGGTTGGTGTAGAATTCCCTCTTCATTTTTTTGTTCTCCCACTCTTAAAAGAGATGCATTACACAGCCTCTTCTCCAGACTTTTATATCTTCACCCACATCCCTCATGTGATCTTAAAGATCACCACCAGTATTTTAGAGAACTTCAGACAGCCTCTAAACTTCATGGAACAAACTCTTTAAAGAAGACAACAAACAAGAAATAATTGCTCTACCACAATCTAGTTCATCACTACCATTTGAGCAGCCTTTCCAGCCTTCAGACAGATTGCTTGAAGGAATGCATGTTCTATCTGCATATCTAAGGACAAGCTAGAAAAATAAGAAATCAGTGGCACTAGAAATGCTTTTACAGTCTAAATGCATTAATGCAGGACTACACCATGCAGAAATACTAAAATGGTTGTTAAAAATTGAAGCTAGTGTCATTTATACAATAAATTGAATGTTAAAAAAGGAAACAATATCTTACTTGGCACAACCTGTCAAAGATTTTTATCAATCAGTCTGGATCAAATTAATCAATATTCATCTAAATGGAAATTAGCAAATTAATCTCACATTAACTACCTCACTCTGAGGGTTGAGAGTGATTCAGCACAGACACATAACAAGTACTGATAGCAAACACTTGTTTAATTTGTTAAGGGAATGTATTCTACACAGGAGCATCAAAGGAGAAGGAAAATTAAAAGAAAAAAATCAAAACTAGGCATTCTCTTTAATATTATAGATAAATATTTCCTGATATTAAAATGTTGCAGAAACTAACCTGTGTTACTACATTCAACTGAAGGTCTTATGTGAATAAGTGCCTTATTAAACCTTTTCCAAATCCAATTTCATTATGAAACAGCCTTTCCCCAAGAATTTCTTTCACATTCACTTAAACTACCAACTAGTATAGATGGTCAGTTGTTCGTTTGCAATAAATAAAAAAATGTTTGTTGCCTTCCACTTTTTCAGATGTGTCAGGGAAAAATTTATCTGTGGAAGAACAAGTAGTCGAAAGTTCTCTTCTTTCTGCCCAAGTCAAATGAAACTTTTTTCTCATCTAGCACCATAAGCAAATTAAGAGCTACATCAGATTGAAGGACCAAACATATTTGTCCCACAGTTGTCTTATCAGTTCCAATCTGGGGTAATTTAGTCCTCTTCATTGCCTTGCATGTGATGTCAGTGGGAGGAAAGCACACACTAGGTAGCCAGCAGCGTTTCCATTTTCTCTTCACCACTCCCAAAGTTATTCAGATGATGGCTGGCATTTGCTTTCCAGGTCAACTCAGAGCAGTGCCTGTGATTTTTAATAAGTGTGTTTTTAATAGGTACCCAACAATGGAAAGAAACTAATCTGAGGTGAGTGACTGCAGGTACTACAGATACGGGAGATGAATTCTTTTTCCCCCTTTTTACTTCTACAGGCACATCTGACCTAGAAAACCAGTGCTCTTAATGCATGCTGCGCTCTCAGATGGTCTTCCACAAATCACTGTAATGACTTGATACTGACACATCACAGCTATTTTACCCCGCCTGCTGAGTCTTAATACAGATCCTTATGATCATGACTAAGACTTGATTAAATAACTTGGAGCCATCTGCTTGCTCCTCAGTGCTAGAAGCAGAGCACACGGATAGTACTAGACCCCGACAAATTAGAGGACTGGGCAATCACCAGCCATATGAAGCTTAACAAGGGAAAGTGTTGGATTCTGCACTTGGGATGGGGCAACCCTGGTTGTGTGTATAGACTGGAGAACAAGAGACTGGAAAGCAGTGCCATAGAAAGGGACCTGGGGGTCTCGGTCAATGGCAAGTTGCATATGAGTCAGCAGTGCCCTGGCAGCCAGGAGGGCCAACCATGTCCTGGGGGGCATCAGGCAAAGCATCACCAGTTGGTCAAGGGAGGGGATTGTCCCACTCTGCTCTGCACTGGGGCAGCCTCACCTGGAATACTGTGTGCAGTTTTGGGCACCACAATATAAAAGAGACATTAAACTACTAGAGAGTGTTCAAAGGAGGGCAATAAAGATAGTGAAGGATCTGGAGGGAGAGCCATATAAGGAGCAGCTTGGTCTGTTCAGCCTGGAGAAGGGGAGACCTCACTACAGTTACAACTTCCTCCTCACAGGAAGAGGAGAGACAGACACTGATCTCTTCTCTGTAACAGAGCCCAAAGGAATGGCCTGAAGTTGAGTCAGAGGAGGTTTACATTGGATATCAGGAAAAGGTTCTTCACCCAGAGGGTGGCTGGGGACTGGAACAGGCTCCCCAGGGAAGTGGTCACAGCACTAACCCTGACAGAGTTCAAGAGGCGTTTAGACAATGCTCTCAGGCACATGGTGTGATTCTTGGGGTGTCCTGTGCAAGGCCAGGAGTTGGACTCTATGATCCTGATGGGTCCCTTCCAACTCAGCATATTCTATGATTGTAATAAAGACTGGGGATTTTCTCTGTTAGGCTTAGACTCATCTTTAGCCCGTTTTTGAGGCAGTGACTGGAATAACCACAGTACATGGTATAGTCTGTAACTTTTTCTAGTACAAAGAGACACACATTGGTGGAAGCAGAAATTCCTAAAAATTGTGTTAGTCCTGTAGAATGACCAACCATAAAACCTAACACCTGTTTATAATGGAAGTCATGAAACAAGAATCTTTATCAGAGACCTTAATACATGAATGCTTCTGTGTCAACACTGAACTACATTTGGTCAAGCAAGCTGAGGATCTGAAGAGGTTTCAAAAACTCATCTGATCTCTTAAAATTGCAGAGAACTTTAGTTACCTAGATGTTAATTGGGTAAAGGAAATAAAAGGCATAGAAAAAATAAGATATTCCATCTTTTCTAAGAAATATCACATGTAGATATGTTTATCCCCCAAAAATTCCTGTTTCACCCTCAGAAGCTCCCCAAGACCTAACGCTGATCCAGAAGTGCATAGACTGGGGAATCGGGAGAGGGCTATAAGAAACTCAGTCATATTTCTGCAACATCTGCTAGCAAGGGGTCCTCTTCAACTGTCAGTGAAAATCTAAAGTGTTTGCCTAAACCTGGAAACTGATTTAGAGCAAGTTGAGTTGTGAATTTAGAGAGAAGACTAAGTATTCATGGTTAACTTCTGCTGGCAGAGGAGTCATGCTTAGAGGCTCTCTGCCATACTATTTTCATGTTGCAGCTTGGCTATTTTAAGGTGTTAGCAAAGTGCCATATAGTTAGATCCACAGAAATGGAGAAATTTTTTTTTACTACCCATTTTACATAAGTATTGATAAAACCTAGAAAATAAGCTTCTTAAAGCATCTTATTCTAAATGTGTACATCTATTTGTTCAATTAAAGACAGAATCATATTTTAAACATTTATCTCTTGAAATAGGTTAAGAATAAAAGGCAGGTTGATTTGTATGTGGTTGGCCTGTCAAGCATGGTTTCTCAAAGGTTTGTCCTTAAAAATTAAAGTATGTGCTCAATAACTTACGGTCCGTGTGACTGAAGGCTTTATATTCAATATAAAACCCTCTGTGGGTGACCAGTTCATCAGAATGGAAATTGATTGCAACAGAATAGCCATATTCCCTGTTTCTGTTGTTTTCTGAAAGAGCTTTACAGTATCTAGCAAGGCAAAAGTGAGAATTATTAATTTCTAACCAAACAGACCATTACCACCCAGCTACATCTACTTTTACTGAAAGGTAATGACACCAAAAAGCTCTTAAAACAATGCAGTAAAGATCAGTTATATTTTGGTGTTAAAAACAGCCCGACAGAAGCATTGGAAAGCCTATTTACAAACGCCTTCCCCTCCACAACTTTTCTGGAACTAGCAGACTTTGAAACAAAATACAGCAAGATGATCCATGTCAGGATCTACCTTAAAAATACAAACTGCTTCAAGCATGTTTGATTTCAGATTTCCCATTTAGGTTTGCAAATCCAAGAGCTGCAAATCCAGTGAAGGATTAAATCATTCAACCAAATCCAATAGGTGTTGCTCATTTCAATATGCACCTTCCAAGAGGCAAATTACTCAGAGTAGTGGTTTTTTTTAGTGTTAGTGTAACAATTACAGTCACTAAAGAGTAAGTGGTATAGAAAATGAAGGTTCTGATGGATGCAAGCTCTTCACCCGCATCAAGACCACTGCCAGGAATTTACAGTTCATCTGCAGCTGCATAAAATCCTGTAGTTTTCTACATTATTGCTTTTAAGGGGAACAAAAGTGTAAGTAAGTGCCTGTAGAAAAACCAGGATGCCTAAATTAACGTAATGACAAATGTTTAATACTAGGGCAGGATTAAGAACATTCTGCTGCTGAAGTTCTTTGGAAGCATGCCAATTTTTTGTTGAAATGTATCTTTCTGCACTTTAAGTGGTGATGTATTTTTTTCTTAAGTACAGTACATTGTGCAGAACATCGAAATGCAAATTAATATCTCAGAAAATAATGTCTTTACTCACCTAACACCATCAATTTCTAACCAGTCTTTATCACATTTACTGGACCCTGGAGACTTCTCTTGAATTTGTATTACAAGGATTTTTAGTGACAGCTTGTAGCCAGGCAATGGTGCCTAAAAATCAAAGGATAAATACCCCGACATACATATTCACAAGGTAAAAAAGGCCTGTGCTGCCAAGATGGCAAATCTTTGTATACATATTATTAGATTGAAAGTACTGCATTTCTATTGTGCAAATTAGTGCCTTCGAAGAACCAAAAAACTTTCCCGATTTAAAAATCTATAGAAATCTTTTTAGATCCAACTTTGGCCAGACTCTGCCAAATAAAGGAGTGTTAGGATTTCTGCAGTCAGCATAAAGCACTGTATCAGAACTTCATCCTATGTTTGTACTGCCATGTGTTCCCATTCCTTTCGTGAACAGAGATGAGAGTTTTATGCTACAAGCTGTTAATAATTTTCACTGAGCACAAGAAAGGTAGAGACTGTTACCAAGTTATATATATATGAAAAGCTTCCTTTACCAGGGAAAGTAAAAAAGTACTTAAATGTTTAATGGAGCAACAGGCAAACAATCTGGGGAGTTGGTAAAAATCACGGGGAGATTTTAAGTCCTGCCAAAGGACTTGCTGGACATTCAGAGTTAACTTTTGAGCCAGAGAAGATCCTGTTTCTGCAGAATTCAGGGAAATACAGTGTGGTATCCACCATATGAGGCATGATTTATATGACCATTTTTTCTTTCTGACATAGAAGAAAAGTGTTGATTATTATTAATTTTCTCTGGCTGCTAGGAGTTCTCTCACCCATTAATTTGGTTTTGTCACGAATAATACTCAAACTTTTGGAAGTTGGCAATGTTTCCCTTCCATAGCTGGCATCTGTACATCAGACAGGAAAGAAATGAGTGCCTGAAAAGAAGTCAGGTGCAGGAGTCCCACTAAGTTTTCTCTCTGTTCCACCCACATCAAAAGTAATTTCTCCCAATTTTTTGTCTAATTAACATAAACCAAAGTCATCAGTACTCAAAAGAGATCCCGGAACTTACTTTGATGATCCAGCTGCAGTCAATGTTTGGTGGGTAGTAACTTGGGTAATAAGGGGAACTCAGTGTCCCGTTCCAGGAAATGTAATGACCACCACACACTGGGAGAGAAATATATCAGCAAGGAACACCGTTATTATCTCAGCCTGGTTAAAGGGCAGAGGCTACTTCACTTGTTAGGACCCTTCTCTATGTACTGAGTTAGAAGAATGGGTTGTGACAGTATTAAACTCACATTTTGCCCATATTAACAGGAAATCACTCAACTGCCACCTCTCCATCACACTGGATTTCTCTTATTAAATTACAGCTAAGGGTAAGTACAAAACACCTTTGACTGAAGTTTTTAAAAAATGTTCTTTCGTGGTAGGTAGAAGAAGCAACTAAATGTGGATGCAACAAACCTCCCCCTTCCAATGTGCTTCTGACCTTTCTGTAGGCATTATCAAAAATTAAAAAGCAATCAGCCCAATGAAGTGAAACCTCTGTTTAATTTCACGTAAACCAGTTTATGTGAAAGTTCTCAGTCTGAAAATTCATGCCACATTTGAACAGTACTTTTGAGGTTTTATTTTCTACCAAGGACTCTCCTAGACATCCAGTCCTCAGTGCTTTTAGTTCCCTTTTGATAACATCACAAATGCAAACATGAATATAACAGAAATGAAGACAATTTTGAAAATAACAATATTTTGTGGCAACCCCCAATCTAAATATCATTTGGAATGCTAATCTTCAGAAAAATTAAGCCATTCTAGTTAGTAATGTGCATGGAATAGGTATTTGCCTAAGCAGCATCCACAAAGACACAAGCTCAAGTGTGTAAGATTTGGAAAAGTTTATCCCCTGTGATTTGTTCCGCAAGTTTGAAAATAGTCACTTGCTTTATTGTCAAAATTCTTTCACTTAGGCTTTACCAAATTAGCGTCACTAAACTTGACCTGGTGAAGCCCCTTCATCTCCTCTACAATACTACAGTTTATCATTACTCATAATATTTCACTAATCATCCAGAACTCATGTAAAATTCATAGTACTGTATAGGTTCGGAATATACTTCATAGGTCTTGAAACACTTTTCTTGTACATTTAACTACATTGAACAGTACTTTCAGTAAAGGAACAAAGACCTATTAGAACTGTTTGCTCTTGTTTTCCATTTTCTTTAAACACACATTCTACAGTCTGGGGATAGATTGCCAAAACTGATAAAAGTGCTGTTCTTTGACTGGAACTATGCAGCCTTGCCTAGACATATAGTGCCTGTAGGGCTATCTGGCTGGCTGCTCTGCTGCCACTGCTCAGTGTTTTCCATGTAGCAAGACCAGCGTCTGGCAAGTATGGCTTGAGTAGTTATCAGAAAGACAAAAAAATCTCCCAGACTAAAGGATTTTTCTATTCTTTGTTCAGTTCTCAAACTTTTTTCAAAGTGGGTCAGAATGACAATGCCCTGACTTATACGCCAACATTCCCTCCCACAAGTATGTTCAAAGCAATATCAACTTTTTTAGAGGCAAAACCAGGAATACGTTAGATGCTTGTTGCTATTAATTACTTACTGATTTTAGGAATGGCTTGAAAGTGAGCTTTTAATATGCTGCTTCCTTCTCTTTGGTCCAGTGAGAAGGTAAGCAACATCACATTACTAGATGAAGTTAAACGTACAACAGAAGGAGCCCAGGCCCCAGGTCCACACCATCTGGAATAGTACACAAAAAAAATGCATTAAAAAAATCCCATATTCCAGTTATCTTTGCTGAGAAACCAGGCAGAAATAACACTGATCTGGTCATCTGCGCTTCTGAAGCATTCCTTTGGCTACCACTTCCCTTTTATTCTTCCACCCCGCTGACAGCACACAAGCCGCTAGAGTTTCCCGTCACTGAGGCTTAGTCACTCAGGGTGACAAATCACCCTTGTTCTTGCTTAACAAGTGCCCCAGAGTTTTCAGGCCTGCACAAGCTTCAGAGAGGGAGTGCCAGACTACGTTATTTCAGTAGTGGTAGGGGCACTGGTTAGGTCTGAAAAGACAACAAGTGCCAGTGCAGCAGCGTTGAGAAGAATCTAAGCAACAGATAAGCCCAAACATTTTCAATCTATTAACATTCACTTTGGTTTCATGTCACAAGAGCTATTACACAAAATGTGAAGGTCTATGCATGGAAACTATTAATTCTTACTGATCTTCTACTTGAATAATGAGTTAATTTATAATCTTGAAGCTTGAAAACTTACTTCTACTTGGAATTTGAGATGCTATCTCTTGCATCTGTAAATTCACTCATGTTTATTCCATTTTGAAATACACAGCATATTTTGGATTTCTTTTCATTAATTCATAAATCTGTGTTAAAAATTTCTAGCAGTTTTCTCTTTCCCTTGCACAGCAAATGAAAGCAATTAAGACAAGACCTCTCAGTAACAGTCTTTTCACCACAGCCCTGCCACTGTCACCAAGATCCACATTGGCAGCATAAAAATAAAATTTTTGAACCTTAAACTGAAAGTAGATGTCTTTTGCTTTCCAGCAGGCTATTCCTGGTTCCCATTTCATGTGAGACACTAGATTTGCCTCTCTTGCAGACATTATTAAATCTCTTTTATCATAATAGTTGACAAAACCTTTATAAAATAACTATTTGAGTCCTATCTGCACTGAAACTGGACTACTATAAAACATGTATTTTCTAAAAGTGATAGAATACAATACTATAAAAAGTCTGTATCTTTTTGAGGTGTGACAGTAACTGTATGAAATCAAATCCATTAAAAATTAGTCATAAAATAGAATAAGCCTCACAGAAATTTATAGCAGGTTCCCTAGGGAAGGGGTCATGGCACCAAGCCTGTCAGAGTTCAAGAAGCATCTGGACAGGGTTCTTAGTCATATGGTTTAGCTTTAGTACAATGAGGAGCAGGGAATTGCACTTGAAGATGCTGATGGCTCCCTTCCAACTTTTGTAGAAGGTCTTTTCATTGCCTGACACAATATTTTTAATTAAGTTTTGCTTGCAGCCTTACATTTTATCAATTTGGTACAGTTTCAGAGAGTTTCTGTACAGCTCAATAAAACACCTTTGCTATCTCTATCATACCTGGTAATGATCTTGTTTTGCAGTGGAAGAAGGAAATCATATGCTGATAAGTGGTGTGATGCACAGCTCCCTGGAGTGACACCATGCAAAGTGATAACTACCAGTCTCACCACATAGTTAGAAGGAACTCGCAGCCTCCATTGATAAAAAGACTTTTTGGGATTCATCAGAGTTAGAGTCCTGTTGTTACCTGGCTTGGCATACAGGTCAAAGGATACTGCTATACAAAAGAAGCTAGATCAGTGGCTGAAAAACTGTTAAGCTGAAAGATAAATTAAGTTCTTGGATAAAATTTCAAACAAGGTAGAAACCATCACCTCCCCACACTTCTTGACTACTCTAATCCCTTTTTGCCCTTCCCTTTTCAGTTCTATTCTCTTTTCCCTACCAGACTGCATCACCTTCTCCAGCTCTGGACAAGCCTCATCACCACCAGCTCATCACACACTCCACAAGCAGGAGGTGATTTGGCTGCAATTGCTACGATCTCTGTTTCACACCGACTGCTTCCTGCATCATTTTCTCTTTGCCCCTCTCCATGCAATGAGAACACCAAGTACACAAAGCCAATCTCAAGGTGTGCTTGATGTGGAGAAATCAAGCAAAGTGAATTAAAGCTCTACGCTGTCTGACTGATCACTACAAAGCTATCTAATCACAAGATAAGTGAGTGATATATAATTTTGTAGAGTTGGTTTTTTTTTTTAAAGATGCCAAGGATAGGAACCAGTTCATTGCAATGCAGTGGGAACTATTAAATTTCAACCATTTTAGTCAGAACATCAGAATAAAAGCTGTAAGGTATTTTCATCCAGCCTCTATTTGGAGCACAAGCCAGGGAGATTCCCTAGTTTGGTTTAGTTTGTAGGCCCTACAGATATAAATGGCAAACTGCCATTTTTCTGTTACAGGATTCCCCCCTGCCCCATAGTGGTATCAGTTGGGATTGAAGCATAATTACCTGATTTTAGCATCACATCATATTCTGTGGAATCTGAAACTGAAATTTGTTAACTATCAGCTACACAAGTCAAAGACACAAACTGGAGGAAGAAAAATAGACAGAATAGGAATTAAACGACAGGTACATTGTTACCAAAAAGTTCCATTGTAACAAGGTCAAAATCTTCCTCCCCAGAAGAACTGAACAAGTGAGTTGCCTGTTTACTACACATTTCTTTTTGTTCCACTGGGGTTAATTTCTTAAGAGAAGCAACTATGTCTTGTGGTGCCCAGAATGTATTCCAGTAGTAAGCTCGAAGTCCAAATTCCCCTTCACTGTGAAAGGAAAAAGGTGCATCATAAATACACTGTAATTACTATTTTGGACGTGATTTCCTCTGGTCTACATTTTTGGCTGGCACAGTTTCATAGCCAGTTGAACTGCTGTGCAAAGAGTTGCAGCTGAACACACTGGCAAAAAGTTCTCTTGTTTAACAATTGCTTTTGCTATACAGTAGAAATACTTCGAAAATATGCTGCTTAAAAGGTTACACACTAACACTGAAAACTACACCTCACAAAATCCTTGCAATAATTTTCATGGAATCAGATATTTCCATCCCTGCTGTATAATTATACACTTTTAAGATCATGTTACAGCTCCAGAAACATTGTACTTTTTTTTTTTATCTGAGGTTAACACCTTATGACAACACAATTTTATGCCCATACTTTGATACAACATTTCATACAATTGTTGCTGAAAGAAACAATCTTTATGAGTACATATAGAAAGTACGACCTCAGTGATTCAAAGAGACAATCCATCACACTCCTCCTTTCAAAATGGCCTGTGGACTGACCTGTCAGAGTTTTCAGAAACTACCAGGATAGTAGTAGCCATCTGCTCAGTGTATTTATCCTTCTCACCAGGAGCTTAAGCAGAATGTCTTGCCCAAAATTATACATTTAATTTTTGTTTTGATAGGTTAAAAAGGAACTTCATTTGAATAGACAAAACCAAAATAGCATTCTGCAAGTGCCAAATTGTTATTTCAAAAATTAGAAATAGATGAATAGACTATAAAACAACCCATAAAACAAGGAACAATTAATTAGACTTCATTTCTCTCACCGATTCTACAGGGCAAGACAGAAATCACTCTATTAGCTTAACTCATATACTTAAGTGCATTTCTACATTTTTAATTCTCTGACAGACATCTGCATGTTCTTCCAGGTAACTCATTTAAAATGCATGAAAAAAAAAAAGAGAAACACAGTTGAGTATTTTAAATTTATACCACATGTTGAAACAGTACCTACCTGAAAGCAGCCACCACAGACTTCAAATAGTACTTTCCCAAGAAGGAAGACTCATATGTTTCTGCCAACTGACAATCAAATGGTGGTAAAAGAAAATGTAAAGCATTATATTTTAGTGCCAATATAATCTCTTATGTTATAAAACATTTGTCTTTTTCTTCCTTTCCTCTTCCTCACACCCCTACATGTATCAAAAGCACTGTCCATCACTTTCACAAAATGTATCAAATTAGGCTCATAATTTTGCATTAAATTCCACTAAAATAAAAAATTGCTTCCAAGTCACATCACATTTCAAGACGATTGAACTAGCCATGAAAAACAAGACTTTAATAATACATTTATATTTTTTCTTTCAGTCTTTAAATTTCTGCCACGTAATCTGGGCATAAGCAACTTGTATTGGCAGTGCACAAAGCAGCTTTGAGGCACTAGATTAGCTCTTCTGGGAAATACAGGCTAACAGAGAACTGCTTTGTGTTTAAGGCTGCTGTTCACGTGTACCTAGGAAACAGTATTGATCTCACAAACAGAAACTCATAAGAAGTGCAAGAAAGAAAGCATTGTTGTGAGCGACAAAGGAAAACAAAATAAAAAGTCAAGCACTGAATTGGAGATATAATTAAAAAAAATGAAGGGAAAAAATGTAGAAGGAAGAGAGTTTGAATGAAGTAAAACAAAAACAGTCTCCTCTTTCCTTTGAGTATTTTTTCCATAACCTTGAAACCCACAGGTTTATTATCTAGAAAACATTGACCTTACTATAAGACTCACAGCCCCATCTGTCTAGCTATGTTTCAAAATCTGAAAACTGCCAAGGCAATTGCTAGCTTTAAACTTGCAATTTTGAAGGAAAAAAAATAGTTACGACTATCTGGAATCCCCTCCTCATTCCCAGTCTGATTCTGTAAAAATATTTATAAATTATTGCTCTATTTATGTGGGAACTTACATAATTTTGGATTGCTTCTGCTTGCAGGAGGAATTTCTGTGATGTTGGATCATTGAGGTCATTTGTGTAAGTCAAATTAGGAATTTCTAGGCTTCCACCAACATAAATGAAGGAGAAAGCTGGAGCTGAGGGAAAAAAAAGATTAAAAAAATTATCACACCTAATAACATCATAGAAAAGCTTCCAGAACAAGAGGCTTGCAGAAGCATGTATTTGTCCTTGGTGCCTGTAGGTATTCTTAGGAGAAACATGCAGTAATAGCCAAAATGCTGAATCACTCTCACTGACAGAGTAATGCCCAGCAGGAAAGGAGAGAAATGAGGTACAGGTTCAGACAGGCATTTTTACTAGGAAGATTTAATTGTTAAGCTTCCATTTTTTGCAGTGCTTATCTCCTGAAGAGGTATGGTTTTAACGGCTATGTGTTGAGATTTGGGAAGGTATATATGCAAGTTAGGTACCTGTCCTGTTTTTTGGAAAAGGGGAATAGAAGATAGACATCTAATTCCTGTAGGTTCTTGGGAAAGACGACAATTATAATAATGATGGTATTCACAAACAGAGTCAAGCAATTGAGATAAAATGCATACCTTCAATATTCTTGTGCAGCTATAAACTGCTAACTATTGTGCATTTTGTTCCTTTAGCAAAGACATGAAGGAGAAGGGAAAGCCAAGTAGCTTAGGTGCACATTATGTGCTCAGCTGCTTAGTGCAGAGCTTTTCACAGCGCAGAATGTGAACCCAGCATGGTCTGGATGAGATGGGTAACACTTACAGAAAGAATAGTGCAGGACTAGCACGATTACTGTAACTGCTAAAGAAACTACAGATAATATTCCTAGAAGCCGTCTCCTCCAGAAAGACAACTTCATCCTTTTGAAGACATGATACTTTTGACATAAGCCATCTTGGTAGGATGGGTAGTAGCAAACATGTGGACTTTCCTAGAGAATGACACGGGAAGGCACCAATTAGTAAGGCAACAAAGAAGAGTTATCGTATTACATTTTAGTATATTTACTCTTTAGTTTTAAAGACATTAAAATTGAGATAATATCTTTCACGTTATCAGCTACATCACCCATGAAACCCACAGATTTCTTGGCTGCTTGCTTGCTTAATGCATTTCAATCTACGGAAACGTGTGTGTGGGGAAATTATTATCACCTTGGTTAAGAGCAATTTATGAAGAACAGAGGTCAACGCACACCAGAGTGGACAAGGAGATCGTTTACTATGTGCCTACTATAAAGCTCAGCTGGTGCCTCTTACCTGCCCTGCAGCACGCTCAGCGTCTGGAGCTGGAATGCTGTACACAGAAGTCTGGCTGGAGGGGAGAGCCCGTAGCATGATGCTGTGACACAAACACCTTCTGACAAACCTACTATCCAAAACCCTGAACAACCCTCACTTCTGAAACAGAACTGAATAGCATGCTACTCTCCCCACCGCACACCCCGGGCATCTCTTATTTCCCCTTTGCCACACTGCTTGAAGTTGGAGCCAGCTGATCTGTGATCAAAGAAGGCTGGGAGGAAAAGCTACCATCACTGTAACTCTTTGTTTGCCTAACTGGCTAAGTAGGATATGGATCCCACCATTTCAAAAGAGGTCGCTTCTTTCAGTAATAATAGAGTACAGAAATAATTTATTATACAATGGAAAGGTCACGCAAGCAATTTACAGATAAAAAAAATCCCAGAGCAACATAAACGAGGTAACTTCTAATAAACGCCCAGTGGAATCCACAGAAATACCGAAGAGAGAAGAAATGCTCAATTCCACAGACCACTTGAACTTTCCAGTCTCAAGCTGGTACCAAAGAATAACTGTAACTGCAAAGTAATTCATGTTCACATTTCCTGTTTGAAAGAAAAACTAGTTTTAAGTCAGCAAATCAACAAGTTGACATATTCTGCATGTAAAATAAGAAAATCAAGGATGTGAGAGGGATAATAACATGTTTTATACATGCTGAGAGAGACAGCACAAAGAACAAAACCTTGAAAACTAAAACAGGCCCAAGGAACCTGAGCTTCACAGAAAGAACCCAAAACAAAAAAACCCCACCCTCCGAAAAAAACACAAAGGGAAGAAACAAACCCCAACACAGATCACGCAGACTGCAAAAGGGATTAACTGGAAGGCAATCCTCAGAGCTCAGAAATTCAAACTACAGCTGCAGACAGATGGCTTTGTTCAAGTCCTTTTTTTTTCTAACAGCCTGTCTGCTACACACACAACCTGCTGATTGTCCCTCCCTTTACGGAAAAGAAAAAAACACAGAAAAAGCCTAGAAGAAACAAACCACTTTTGCATAAAAATTGTATCAGGACCTTTCAGAAACACCAGCTTTACTTGGCAAGGACAAGATCATTGCAATAACTTACATCATTATATTTACTCACCTTCTTAAGATTGCCTGAAGCTAAAGAATTCAAATTCTTAGGTGGATGAACTTGAATATGAAGAAATGAAGGCAGGAAATTAAAGAGTTAGTAGCTCCAAATCATGCAGTTAATTAAATGAAGGTTGGAGGAGGAATAAGCATGGAGCAAATCACTACTCAACTCAAAATTCCTGATCTTAAAAAATTAGGGCCCTACAGATTTGAAAGGATTGAGTTCACCTTCTGCAACCTCTATTCTTCCTTGTTGCCTGTCAGCTGTTCTTGGTGGAGGAGACAGGGAAAGTAGTATTTGCAAGAGTGCAAATAGTTGATTGCTGCTCCACAGTTACTTCTGTATTGGCCTTACACATCTCAGAAGAAAGGAGTGACTAAGCCTTAAGCTCTCTCTTTATGTGATCAATTGTATCTTCAGCTTCCTGACAGAGGATTGCACCTGCACTTAGGTGGTACCTGGAAAATGAATGTAAAGTGCCAGAAGTTTATTATTGCACCTCCTCCTGTGTCTCCAGACATCTGCATAGAACAACCACCACAAGGAACAGCCTCTTCCTTATTCATGAAGGTTTGAAAAAAGGCTAATTATTGCTTCCATATGTGAATTCCAGAATCAGCAAGAGACCCACAAAGAAATTCCACCACTGAACAGTTCTTCCAAATATGATTTTTAATTGAGATATCCAGGACATGTTTTATTCCACAAAAACAGTTTTCACATTACAAGACTGAAGGCACATATTTGTGAATCCATGGTGCAAAATTTGACACTCTTGTGTAGACACCTGGGAAATTTGGTCTTCCACATCCATAACCCCAGCTCACTATGCCAGTCAAAAACCATTTTCCGTCTCCATTGCTTTGACACGACAATGGTCCACCGGAATCACCCTAAAAATAACAGATTGAGTTGTATGTGTTTACAATGAAATATAAAAACTAGGGAAAAATCCACAGCAGATGTTTTGCCTGAGCAATTCCAACAGTGATTATAGTTTCACATTCACATAGTTCAAACCATCGATACTTTGTTATTTGTAAGCAGAAGGACTGCACAGTTGTACCAAAGTTTGCTCCTTCACAAGAAAGAAGGCTAACTCTCCCTCTCTAAAGACACTAAAGATATTACTTTTCATGGACTAGATTTGAAATTCAATTTTTTTTTCCTGGTTTCAAACTCACAGCTAGACCCCAAATCTGCTCCTTGCTATGTATGTAAATTCATAGATTGAGCACAAACAACTCAAAAAAATAGTCAGCTTTTTTAAAAAAAATATAAATACAATAAATAAAATAAAATATTTAATAATTATATAACTTCTCTCAAATTAAAGGTAAATGGAAACAGCTTGAATCCCTCAATTGTTTTGTGTTTGTGGGTTTTTTTAGTTTAAAGAAGGAAAAAGAGCCTAAGTGTTGTCCTCTAGTAGATACAAGTCAACAAACAACTAACAAGTTTAGGTGTATGTAATGTCTTTGCAATTAGATCAGTTAAAGTGAAGTCTGTAACAGACTTCAAGGTTTTATACACTATGTCATAATGCAGGACAAAGCAACTAGGACTCTTCTTTTATAGGATGTTCTTGTACAAATACATTGGCAGAGCTTCAGGTAAAAAAAAAAAAATGTGCCACCATTTGGGGAAAATTGCTTGGACCAAGCTTATACTTTCCTGTAAGAATCTGCTGTACACACAATATCTCTGAAAAAGACACCAAGTTAAACCTTACCAAAACACTGAATGCAAGAAACAATTTCCAAAAGCAAAAAGTGAGTTGGCAAAATTCAATGTTTTGCAAGAGAAGTGCCTTCCTTCCAGACATACATTTTGACAGAGCCAGAAAACTATTTTGTTTTAACGTTATAGCATGTTAGGAAGGCAGGTTGGAAGGGACCTCTTCCTAGGTGCCAAGGTGGCACCTCTGCTCGAAGAAGGATTAACTTGAATTAAACTTTTTCCTTCCTCGACAATTAAGATTTTACATTTACTGAGGTCAAATTTTCAATTTTTTTTCTTCAATTCCTAGGACAAAAGAGAAGTGGAACACCAGCATTTTTCACACATTTTGATCAGCTCTAACTGCCAGACACAGCCACAAATCCTTTGCCCTTACAAAAACACAGCCAGAAGACCTGTAAATTATGCTTTTGCCTGGTTATATTTTGAGTGGCCTTACAGAAACAAAGTAGCTGCAGAAACAAATCCTCCAGTTAGTGAAAACAGTAATTAATATAAATGGTCTCGCTAACCTCTAAAAAGCAGCTGGCACATTACACTCCCTCAAAACCCTCAGACATTCCTTGCCTGAGACCCATTGTAGTCTCTCTGACTTCTACACAGATCACTGAAAGCTAGAACATTCCAGATCTCCATCATTAAAAAATGGTTTTATTATTATTTTAGCAGAAAATTAACTACTATTTTAGTAGTAGGTTTATATAAGTTCAATATAACATCTGTAATATGAAATGTTATATAAATACATATTGTATGTATTCACACACAGACACATGCAGAGTTTTACTACCATTCTCCAGAAGTAAATCCAGAACCTCACATTTATTATCTTTCAGCTTTTCTAGATCAGAAATAATTTACATTTGGAAAATTTATGCCCAATTATCATTGTCTCATTATACACTCCAAGTTGGAAGGGAGGGATCCTGAAAAGAGACAACCTAGTTTATCATTTTTTTCTTCAACTGAGAGCTTCTTATGCCAAAAATTCCCTGATTTCAAGTTGTTATTGGGTCTTGCAAATTGATTGGCTTTTGGCCTGCAACTGAAACTTAGTGATGCTACTTGTGCACATAAAGCAGCAGAACTCTGAAAGCACCCAGAGGAGAGACTTGCTGACAGACAATTCTTATATTGCTCTTTTTCAGAACTGAAACATACTGACCACAAAGTGGTCTGCCACTCAATTCTTACACCTCATCATGAAACAATGAAAGACAAGATACACTCTATGCAAAGTGTGCTGAGATACATACTTTACACCCATCTCTTTTCCCAGACAATAGCCCAGCACAAAACATCCTAGCTGTGATAATCCCATATGTGGAATGACATAATGTCTGGTCAATAATTTCTACCTCCGCTTTCTGAAGAACTGCTGAACCTTCATCATCTGGAAAACAAATTCAAAGAAGGGTGATTCAACAGAGCTTTGCATTTTACTCATCTATTGAAATAGAAAACAAATCTTCAGAAAATATCCACGGATACTTTAGATCACTGAGTTTATTTCAGATTCCAAACAACTGCAATAGAGCACAATGCTTCTTCTAATAGGCAATTGTATAGTGTGGTTTTGGTCCTTTAGACAAATACAACGGCATAATCGCTAGGGTTGGCCAAAAAGTTTTTTCTTTGCTTTTTGCAAAAATGCCTCAAGACTTCCTTATTTGTTCTCTTCTTATTTTTAAAAGGAAATAGGATTTTACAAAGGTATTTGGATCATCACATGACAGATTTGCAGTTAGGGCAGTATACCTGAAGGAGCCAAATCCAAGATTAAGATTATGAGTCAGAGTTTCAGAATGCAAGTTTTGGCAGCATTAAGAACTTGGACATTTCTCAAAATTCAGTTCTCTCTGTCTGAAAGATTTGGTAAAACACCTCTTTGCTGTAAGATACATACTTTCAGAAAAACAGAATTAAATCTAATTGTCCCCTCCTTCTAATGCAAAAGGTCCAATCTCATCACCAGCTGATCCTCTCAAAATCTGGGTAGAGCCAAAGAAACCTCCCCTATATATTCAATTATGAAAGTGTTGGTTTACCTAACAAAGCTCTGTTTCAGGATTTGATAAAGCTAGTACAATGTATACTTTAACATTACTTAAAAGATTGATTTGGTACTTGTATAGTGTAGAATGATGAAGGGAATAAAGGAAAATTTGGGGGGAAAACCACTTTTTTTTTTTGAGGCATTGCATTTCA